TATTATATTTATCCATTAAATATCTGTAATATAAATTTTATATTTAGAAACTCAAAAATAATTTAGATAAATATAAAAATTTTGTAATATTAAAAAACTTTTATATTTATCTTTATTTACCACTCGTAATCATGTTCGTAGATCGGGCAAACAAATTTCTATATAATTTTTTTGTGTCTCTTGCTGTATTAAAAAAAAGATTCTTGTGTATCTCAAATTTTTTATCTTTTTATTACACAGGTTTCGAAACAAGGTTTGATGAGATGGCAGCAGAGGTAGGGCCACCACTAGCCCACTTGCTCCTCTCTAAAATTACATGTTTATGTTTGTTTAGTGTTTTTCTCTAAAATTTTTGTGTGCAATACGATCGAGTTTAAATTTCAATCTACGATATTATGCTTAAAATCCATATAAACGTATACGCAATGTCATGTTTCAAATTCATGAAAAATCGATATAACAAAATTCATTATGACTTATGATTTATAAGATGCGACGCATTGAGGTTGATGTGCTTCATGTATGCCTTACAATCCTCTGGTCATGTTAAAAGCGGTGCGAGAAGCTGTATGTCTGAAGCTCGATGGGTTAGGTTGTGGGAAGGTTCCTTCAAGTGTAATATTTACTCTTCATAGATTAATCTTTCTGCTCTTTTTGATGGTGCATATTGATACGTGACCATGTATATGGGTTATATTAAAGATGTCTTTACCCCTAACTATTTGTCGTGTCATTGTTTTTTTTTTTTTTGATAAACTACGAGAGTTCCAAATTTTTGACTCATAGTCTTCTCAATGTCCGGAGACAACCGTTGATAATACCACGTTTAAAGCGTAAAACACCCCTCCCAAAAGTTGAACTAGTGATTTTGAATACTCATTTTCAAGTTTCAAGACCAATAGACCACCAACCACTTGCCGTGTCATTGATGAGTTGAAATGCATCTTCTGAGCCTTCTAAGAGTTTAAAGAATATTCAAGTGACTCATGTGGAAGTTGTTTTAGATAAAGTGATCGGAAATGATGGCAATTCTATGTGATTTGCCACACTATCAAAATTTTCTGGATAAAGTTTATTGTGTCGTGCATGAATTTGGCCAAAGTTTTGATTATTATATTGTTAGGTTGAGCCATTGCAAAGAATGTGGCAAGGAAATTTTTTTAAATCATGACATTTGTAAGGCCGACGTAGCTCCACAATCAATTGTTGGAAGAAGCTAGCAGGAAGTTGATCCTTCCATTGTTCTGTTTTGTACGTTTGTGCTTGAGGTCTCCTGATTTTTGACTTTTTGTTCTTTGTCTTTTGGCTAGACTCTG